GTAACCCGTGACCCGATTTTAGCGAAACTTGTTTTATTCTGTTTCTATTCTCATTTAAGGGGGTACCAAATCTTATAAATATGGCGCTATTGTATGCCGTTTTTGCTGTATTTAATTACAGACAAACAAACAAACAATCGCAGAGTTTTAGTATTGTATAGATTACCTTGGTAGCCAAAGTAATGAATGAAGCTCGTATTCTAAATAATTTTTTTTTATTTTACATCTTTGTTTCTCTTTTAAAACAACTGTTTTTAACACAGCTAGAGTTTAAACAATGTATTTAACTCAGAGCTATAGTTTATTGAAACTATAAAATTCATAAATTGATTTATTTATAGGATTTGAGAAAGAGCAAGCCTCATCCTCAAAGTTCATACTCATCATTTTTTTATTGCTCAAAATTATGGACGGCTAGTGTAGAAAACCTTCAAGTAACTTTTGTGCAAAAATTCAACAACAACAACAAAAATCTTCTCTTTTGACATCTTCTCACACAGCTACAGGTATTTGAAGTTTCTGTTTATATTATGCTGATCTCCTTGTAATAATGGTCGTTAATTCTTTTCATGAAAGTAGTTTGTATCGATAATCTAACAAATGATACTCAGAATTAATTGTTACACCAAATACAGAAAGGTCAAGTACATTGACAAAATAAAACGTCACTTGAAAACGAGAGTCTCTGAACATTCAGGAGTATCTAACAGAACCGGCCGTCCACCACAAAAAAATACAATCATTCATCCATTCGTTCACATTCTGAAACCACAGGTCACAATATTTCATATAACGATTTCTCTGTAATAATCACAGGATACACGGACCTTGAACTCTATATTAAAGAAAGTTTACTCATAGCTAAAAATCACCCGACTCTTAACGACTCAAAAGCTCTTTAGATCTAAAATTATTCTAAATTTTCACACTTAAAACTCAGCTGTTGTGTAATATGTCTATAATCCTTTGTTGTTGTATCCTTCCGTTTACCACTTCTCTTAATAACTAAGTTAAATAATGATTATGGTGTTATAGTTTTAGTTATTTTCTTTTGCACTTTTATTTTCTACCAGAAACAAGTCTAGACACATTTGTTAACATACTTTTGCGGTTGAAGTCTTTTGTTTGTTTGTAGTTGGGCACAAATCTATTAATAGGCTATATGTGATGTACTCACCATAAATATAAAAACACAATTTTTAGTGTTATAAGGCTTCAGACTTATCGCTGTGCCACTGGGGAGCACTTAAAGTCATATACATATAAGTACCTTAACGCCATGCAGCATCAATTATTTCTTCTTTGCAAAAAGTAGTGTTAACTTTAATTAACTACCGAAAATGAGTTGTATTTTTCGCAAAAATAAAACAAAACTGAAAAGACAGATGAAATGGACGATAGAGTAAAAGATGTGTAAATTATAAATATAACAATAATTTTAAAAAATGAAAGAATACCACCTCAGAATGTATACTTTAACATACTCTTATTGCATTGAGTTGTATAATATAGCGCACTCTGATGGCGCTGGTACAACAACTTAAACTTTACTACGAAGTAATTTTGGATAAATTTTTGAAATAATTAGAAATGCAGTAATAAATGATGCTGTATAATTTTATTCCGTTGTTTTTACTTAATCAGTAATGATATTTAAATATGTTATAAAAATAACCAATAAATTATTTTTCTTTGGCGCTACGGTTGCACTTATTTCTCTCTCTCTTTTCTTTTTTTTTTTTTTCGCTTTAGCCCTTACAATCTCTCTTTTTACTTAGCTTCTCAAACTAAGAGGGATTCGCCCATAGGCTACGGTGTTCTGAGCCTTAACTTAACCTTGCAAAGTATCTTAAATTTAATGCACTTTTACGTCTTTGCTGTCATTTTTTAATCAAAATTGAAATAAGGGTCTGTTTGCTACTATAAAGCATATGAATTGGGATAATCGTAAATAATATATATCGTAAAGAGTAACGCCGTAACGGTAAGGTAAAAAAAAAATCGTAATATATACAAGTTTACTTGTTGCCCAATACTAACGCCAGTAACAGTGGGCCTAACCGAACATTGTTAAAACTCCAACTAAACTCTGTAAGCTATTTACTAATATTTTTTATCTGATTATCAACGTGAATTAGAATATATGTGTGCATGAATCCAGCTTACTAGTAAAAAAAGTTGTATACTGCTCTTAAATTAAAAAGAGTAAAATCATTATATGTATTAGTATTACACTGGACTGTGGACGTGACTTAATTATAGACTATATCTTGACCACCTGTTAAGTCATGAGACGAAATTGCTAGTACATGTGATAGATTACCTTTTTTTTTCTTTGTCTTGATTTTTTTTAGATTAGCAACACAAATGGACTTGGGTAATAGGAATAATTTATATAATTGTTCTCTTTGACTTCCTTAGTTATACCTTCTGTGTATTATTTATTACACTACCTAGAATCACAGTACACTAATAATAGCAAGTGTAAAGATGTTGGGTGACCTGTGGTACTAATATATCTTGGGAGAAATAAAAAAATTAGTTGTTTGTATCCATATTATGGGGTTTTGTAGTTGATTAGTTTGAGAACTGTTAATAGTGGGAATATAAGTAAACTGGATAACGTTTACTTGCATGGAAGTGGAGTGTGTGGCCACCAAACTCTCCATTATTCTCGGATCCAGTAAAAAATAAAATATTTGTTGGAATAGACATGAATGAAAATAAAATTTAATTTCATCATAGAATATACAAGCTATCTTCATGACCAGTGTAGGTGTTATTGTTTAGACTGATTTTTTTTAGTGTTATTTTGAGAGTTTTATCCTCAAGTAGAGATCCTGCACTATGTTTTAAAGGTGTACTAAACCTTGGTCATTTTGGTAATCTACATAATCTTACTTGGCATATGTATGAATAAGTGGAGTAGTAATTTACTTAACAAAACATCATCATATGTTATAACAATTGCAAGCTACATTTGTTTTAAAATAATCCCAGAGGGTAGTTGGAATGACTTTTTAAAATTTTACAATCTGATATACCTGATTGAACATACTTCCATTGTATGATCTCTCCATTAAACTAGCTTTGGTGGAAAATCATAAATAATATTCAACGTTAAACTGGTACACAATTAAAAACATTTTATTTAGGCCTATCTATGGCCTTCAAAAAGTTGACGACTCTACAGGTTTCGACGTTACAACGTCATCCTCAGGAGTTGAAACATGTAGAGTCGTCAACTTTTTGAAGCCCATAGATAGGCCTAAATAAAATGTTTTTAATTGTGTACCAGTTTAACGTTTAATATTATTTATCATTTTAACTTTATACACAAGTGCCAAAATACTCTAATTAGCTTTGGTACAGTTATTGTACACGACTTCAGTTTTCGTTATTTGATGGAAAAGGCCCGTGTTGTTTTGATTAGCAAGTTTGATCAAACAACAGTATTGGGTATCTGATTTAGAGTGTACTACACGTGGATTAACTCTTTAAATGTTGGTTAAACTGTCCAACCGAAGTATATGTAATTTTTTTGAGAATTAATTTAGCTTCTTTCAGATAGATTGATTGTTGTGACTGGAGAGTATTCAATAGGCCTATTAGTACACATTAAGCCTACTCAGCATTCATTAGCATGGTGGAACGTTTTGTGCCTTATCTACAAAGCAGTATTTCAATAGTATTAGAAATACAAAGTATGTATTTCGTGAATGATTATTGATAGGATGAGTATTTTAGCCGACTGTGACCTAGCAAAGAGAAAACTTGAAATGTTCAGAGGAATATAACCATTGACACTGTTTATCATAGTAATAAGGATACTTAGTCATTTGTAAAATACCCAGGCTGATACAGTGCATTATTCTGTTATTACTAAAATTCTGTTTGGTTGATTTGTATACTCTTCTTTCCAGAAGTATTTTTAGGATGTAACTGTATCAAAAGGTTGGGGAGCTGTAGCAGAACTTATCTTTAAAGCAAGAACCTAATAATTTTGTCAGATAATAAAGGTTGGAAATATCCAAAAATCTGTACATTACAATTTTTTCTTTTATCCTGTCTGCTTGTTCTTTACCACATTCACCAAAAGACTGAAACCTTCAGAAATTCTGCCATTACACATTCAATCCTGTCATATATGTTGTTTTTACATCTATTAAGCCTTCTCTATTTTTTTACGTATGAGAGGGAGGTGATATAGGTACCAATGCTGTTTTTGTTTTCTGTGACTTTTAATTTACTATCTTCACAGAGTAAAAATGTCATTGTTTCATTAAAAATGTGTGAATACATATTTCGGAGGTTTACTAGAAAAACATTTCATGAACTTACAGTCAGAAGGTACCTACCTCATACAGATGATTGATAATTTGTTTATCATTGTCAGAACATCATAAAAAAACTGGAGGGCACCTTGGGATGGTATCTTGATGCACTGTTTGACCACTATTGTTGCTTGCTAAGCTGTAGTTATTGGAACAGTTTGGCCATATAGCAGAATCAGCCCAACATGCTCTGAAAGTCTACAATTTGTCATTCTTATTGAGGTATCCAGTCTTTTTATACCTGAACGACCCTCTAGTGGCCAAATGGTGCATCACAAAGTGTCTTCACTGTAGACATTGACCTTCATGTACCCCCCAGTATTTGTGTGGTTTCAACAGTGGTATACAAAGTATGAATAACTGTACGTACAAGCAAAACAAAGTGTTGTAGCTGTTGGTTAGTTTTCTGATAAAGATATAACATGTTATGTCAGCTTCTATTAGCAGTTGTTTACTGGGCTGTAAGAACTGCAACCATGTTAACTAGCTGTTGGTTAGTTTTCTGATAAAGATATAACATGTTATGTTAGCTTCTATTAGCAGTTGTTTACTGGGCTGTAAGAACTGCAATCATGTTAATAAATAATTCATTATTAGTTTGAACTTTCTAGATAGTTTCTAAGTGTTGAAAAGTTGGGAATTTGTGAGTCTAAGTTAGTACCTTTCATACAGTACTGAAAATTAAGATATATATATATATATATATATCTAACTTAAGGAAAAGGGACCTATTGGTCTCTGTCAACCATCCCATCCATTAAACTAAACTCTATAATAGAAATAAAACACTCAAAGCCAGCCTTTATCATTCAAATATTTATCAAGCCTTCCTTGAACCTTCCTAAATCCTTTTGGTGCATAATTACATTTCGGGCTAGTTCCTGAAAAGCATAAATTATTCACCAAAAAATTAAATTTTGAATTTGATCTTTTTTTAATTTTTCAATATCAAAAGGAGATGATATATCTTCTATATCTGGCTCAACAATTCTCTGATGTACACATGAATGGGAAAAATCCAGTGACAAATGATGAATGCTGACTTATATATTCATTCACCACCTCTGGTTTGTATTAGTTTAACACATGATAGTTACTAGACTACTGAATATATGTAAGGTATAACATATAAAAACGTTAATATACTAGTAAAAGTTACCTCAAATCACGGAGCTACTTACCGTTTGAGCTGACAGCTGAGCATATGTAAAAACATCCACTAGTTGCAGTGTTGCTCACAGATGGCAGCACCACATAGATGTGGCAAGACTTTCAAGGATGTGAGGGTATTCCTGCTTGTCACAGTGGAAGGAAAAGTTTCTGTGAAGCCGTGGGGTAAATCTGCTTGTTGCATCAAGTGGCTATAAATATCAAAGTGGATATATCCATTTGTTGCATCGTAATGGTTAAATTAACTGCAGCCACCTCATCAGAAGGCAAACCACCCTGTTACAAAAATAAAATTGTCTTAGCTAAAGATGACTCCTACCCTGCTAGCATTCATATTTGTGTCCTCTAGTCCTGCCATTCTCTCCATTAAATAGGAAAAAAAATTATATATCGACACTATCAATTTCCGTAACAATCTTAAAACACCTCAATCAGATTCCCTCTTTTTTTCAAGATAAAATAATATCAGGGGTTTTAATCTATTCTCGTACACTTTCCTATATCACTTGCTCTGTCAGTTATATCCCCCCACCCCCTGCTCCTGGATAGAATAAACTAATTATTTTCTCCGTTTATACCTCCACCATATAGTTGATAAGTTGTGTGCAGATGGTCATTGATTGTTTAAAGATTTTTCTAGAAATACTCTTAAGAAAATGTAGTTTTTTTTTTATCATGATGAACCTGTAATACTGATGTCATTGTTTTCAGCTATTTCTGTTGGTAACCTCACAACAAAGCTAGCATTTTATCAGTATATATATGTTTTTAAATACAAGCTGACTTCTTAAGTTAGTTTTTTTTTTGTATGATATGGTAAGTCAAGTCTGATAAACATATGTAAAAATAACCTAAAACTAACTGGATTTTGAATTGTATCATTCATTGTTGGTGATCTTTTGTAACTGGATTTTGAATTGTATCATTCATTGTTGGTGATCTTTTGTAACTGGATTTTGAATTGTATCATTCATTGTTGGTGATCTTTTGTTTTTGTGGGGAAACAATGCTAATTATAAGAACTGGCTGAACATGTCAGAATTCAAGTTTTGGTTATGATAAATATGTTGCATCCATTTTTTCTCTCAGATGACTGTCACAAAAAAACTACCATATTTGCTGTTAAATAATTCTTTGTTTACCACGTGTGTATATACAGGTGTGAATTAGCTGTTAAATAATTCTTTGTTTACCACATGTGTATATACAGGTGTGAATTAGCTGTTAAATAATTCTTTGTTTACCATGTATGTATATACAAGTGTGAATTAGCTGTTAAATAATTCTTTGTTTACCATGTGTGTATATATACAGGTGTGAATTAGCTGTTAAATAATTCTTTGTTTACCACATGTGTATATGCAGGTGTGAATTTGGAGATGCCAAAAGGAATGATCAAGTTTGACGGTCAGTTGTCCGTATCTGATCCCCATCGGAGCCCAGTGCTGATAATAGGTCAGACTAAACATTTATCTAGAACTACGTTTAATGATGTGAAAATGAAACTGGAACCAAAGGTGACCGAAGAGGCAAGTGTTTTTCTGTTTACAGAAACTACTGCAGTTTGGAAACGTTCACATTGTTTGTGTACAGTGTTTGATATATATATTTTGCTGTTTTCAGACACAAAAAATTAGGTTGTTAATTGCTATTACAATATTAAGTGGACAAATCCTTCTTAAAATTTGAAACGGAGCCATGAGTAAGATCCCATCTTCCATATAATGTATGAAATGGGTATAGTTCTTTTGGGTTTGTGAAAAATTTAATGATTAGATATGCTTCTACCTGAAATAGATACCAAGACATTTATAAATCAATATGCACCACAGTAGGCAGAAGCTAATAAAAAAAAAACCTATAAAGATAAACAAAAATGACAGAAGGGCAACAACCCAAGATTTCCAACTATGAACCATTGTAAATGTAAATCCATATATTGATCCATTACAAACTTGAAATAATCGAAACAGTCAACATGTTATCAGCAAATTACCCCATGTCTGTGTTTAACAGAGAAGTAATTAAGTAATCATTTCCAACTATGAACCATTGTAAATGTAAATCCATATATTGATCCATTACAAACTTGAAATAATCCAAACAGTCAACATGTTATCAGGCAAATTACCCCATGTCTGTGTTTAACAGAGAAGTAATTAAGTCTTCAAATCGTATGCTAATTACATTTAATGTTGAATTCATCTTACCAGCGGTATATAAAAAAAAAAGCAACAATTTCTCAAATCTTGGCAGTTTTAAAATCCAAATGAAGTCAACTTTAATGTCTTTACAGCCCAGCAAAAGCCAATACAAAACTGGAAAATATTCATATTGAATAGCATTCAGAAGCTCTTGTCTGTACACTTTGTAAATAATACCCTACCTATAGCAATATAAAAACAGAACCCAATAATCCAGTTACAATCGAGCCAAGCTTTTCGATAAAGTTACAGTGTCATTTGTTTTAATAGAGTAGTCAGTAAACTATTTAGTACACTGTTTTAATATTCAGTAAACTATTTAGTACACTGTTTTA